GCTCCAAGCCCTCAGGAAGGTGCTTCAAGCTGATGGCAGCTCTCCAAGAGATTCTGTGCTCATGGCTGCCTGGGTTTGACTTTTGACAAAACATCCCATCCCATCCTTAACTCAAACATTATGGACAAACTGTATCCACGTTCTCCTCTCCAGCACTGGGAGTGGGAGATCCGGATTGTACTACCATTTTTCTTGCTGATTCCTCAGAGTCACAGACCTGAGGCTTAGTGCTGGGGGCTGGACCTGCTTGCAGACTTGGTAGTGTCCCAAAGATAATTTTTTTGCTTCATCCTACCAGAGAACAAAGCACCTGGTAACACCAACCTGCTGGGATACCACAGTTCAGCCAAAATTGGTCCCATGGACATAACTAATGGCACACTTCAACTGCAGAGATGGGACAGGCCTGACAAACCCAGTCAGGGACATGTGCAAGAAACTGGGAACAGTCACAAACACCTCACTGGGTTTTGTCCTGGCCATCTCTGGCTGCTTTTGCCTTACACTAGCTGCATACACAGCAGCAGTGACCATCTGCAGTGATGCCTGTTGCTGTGGAATCTTGGAGCAGTCATGAAGAGCTGAGAAATAGTATTGCTGCCCTTGTATCCCTTCCCTGGACTCTGCTACCATACCTTCACCAGCAGATCAAAATCTGGCATGAGAGGTACACAAAAACAGCTGGTGCACGTGATGACAAGTGGTTTCTTCTCTCAGACCTCAGGGCAGGCTGTAGCTTTCAGGAGAGCTGTAAGACGTGGCCATCTGGATCACTAGAGACATGAAACCCTTTCCCAAACTAAGACATTTTTATTATTGCATCTTGCTAAGTCACCCCTGCCAAACAGATGTATTTCCCATCTCCATCCTTCAGTTACCTACTGCAATGCACAAAGCAATCCTTTGCCATCTTCCACCCTGAACACCTTGCAGTCTTTAAGAAGATTATTTCACTGTGATTTACAGAAATATAGAACAGATTCACAGCTCAGGACAGATTATTCTCCAAAGAGAGATGAGAGGAGCAGCTGCCATTGCTCAGTGAAGAGAAGACAAGTTAGGTGATGGCTCTAGGAGTCACTGCAACAGCAAAGCACAAGTACCCCCAAAGCAAGGAGGCTTCTCTCAGCAGGGCAGCAACAAAGAACGTGGCAGGGCTCGTTCTGGGCGAGAGGCAAAATCTTTATTCCAGTTCTGAATTGGAAAACAATCACCATGGCCACAGCTCAGTGCTGGACAGTTCAGTCAGCATAAGCAGAGGGCACCAGGCCCAGCGAGGCACACACAGAGGACACAGTCCCAGAGGCACTTGGAGAGGAAGCTCAGCTTCAAAGTACAAACACTGAACAGTTTGGCTCAAATTTTTAATATAAAAACTCACTAAAAAGGCTAAAATGTGACAAACCATTGGAAATACTGTGACAAACATTCGCCCTTAGGCAGTAAAAACCGAAACAAACCCAAACTGGCAAGAAGCTTTGAAATGCATGTTTTCTTCTTCCTCCCGGCACGTCGGACCATCAGCTACTTAAAAGGTTCATCTAGAAAAATCCATGGCACCTTCACCTCCTAGTTCAGTGCAAGAGGCTACTCTCGATGGACCAGCACAAATAAACCCAGTAAAAAGAGCACTGCATACTGGAAGAGAGAGCAGAGGAGACAGAGGAGTGCACACTCACCTACAACTGCAAACACGCACAGGGTTCTGCCTGTGCTCTCATGAAGGAATTTTAGCTGGGGTGGGAAAAGCAGGCAGGACACGGAAAAGCTCTTACCTTAAATTTTGGATAATCATTCATTAAGATAGTCACTATTCCAATATAGGGCACGAATCTAGGAGAATAAAGGTTTAATTAATGCAAACACTATTGCAGGTGCAGGTGGGATGCAGTACAGAGAAAGAGGTGGTCAAACATTCTGAGGGCTAAGGTCAGCAGGGCTGGAGACTCCTTCCTCTCAAGCTGGGGCTTGAGCTTTCAGCCTCTGCTTGGGTTAGGTCACAGAATCAGCAAGGCTGGAGGAGATCTCTAAGATCCTTGGCCATCTGTGCACACTGTTGGCTCCCACTGAGCTGTGCCACCAGCACTGCCAAGTCCCTTTGTGCCCAACACCTCTGTCCCCACTCCTCCCCCAGCCTGGAGCTGCATGGGCTGTTGTGTCCCAAGGGCAGGACCAGCATTGAGCCTTACTGACCCTCATGCAGTTGTCCTCAGACCATTGATGGGTCTGTCCAGGTCTCTCTGCAGGGAGCAAGACCTCACCTGCCTGCAGAGGCTGAGCCTGGCAGGACAAACTCATGGCACTTCTGATCACTCCTGAGTGTGCACTGCCTTTGCACCAGTGTCCATCCAGCATCAGAGCCTCAGGATGCAGCTCCCAGCTGGATACCATCCCTTAAGCCAAGCTAAGAACTGAACTACCTTTGCTTTTGAACTCTCCACGCTTTCAGGCGGGTCACAAAGCCCAGCAGGGAGAGCTTGAGAGAAGAGAGATTACCAGATGGCTCTGGGGAGGGCAGTGTACAAAGCCACATCATTTTCAGGGTCACTTACCCTCTTGCTCGTCCTACGACGTCCTTCTTCTCCAGCCAGTGCTGCCCCCGTTTGTAGAGCCCTCTGTCATCCACAGCATTGTTGTCTCCCTTCGTCAGGAATTTGATGTCACCGTTTTGCCTGGCAAAGACAAGACAGGGAGGTGAGGCAGGGAAGGAACTCCCTTAAAGGCTGTTCTAGAACAAGCATGGAGAGGCCAGACACTGTCCCCTCCCTGTGGCACCTGCACGCAGGTGCTGAGCAGGAGCCTTCTCAGTGCTTAAACCTCAGCTTCCTCACAGAAACAGCAGATGGAATGCAGGGCAGGAAAGCAGGCAGAAGGTCTTTGGAGCTCGTGCTGCTTTCACCATGCCTGAATACCAACGTGTTCCTTGACAGGAGAAACTTGGAAGGGAAAAAGGGGAGAAAAGAACAACTCTTTCTCCAAAGCACATCTGGCTCGCTGTGTGGGAACAGCAAACACTCCAGGAGCTGAGAGACACAGTCTGGGGAAAGATAAAGATCCCCAGAGGTGCAGATAATGCAGTTTAGCTGTGAAGAGCGATGGTGTAGGAGTGCAGAACCTTATTGAGCAGAGCTGACACTGTCATGACGTGGCGTGAGGAGCCCTCAGCACAGTCCTCACTGTCTGAGAGGTGAATGAAGTCTGGTCTGGCTGTCCTGCTCCAAAGCCACTATGTAAATTTGGACTGCAGACTCTGTGTTAGTGATAAAGAATGAACTCAATTTTGGGCTGAAACAATGAGAAAAGGCCAGCAAGTAAAAGACATTTTCCCACTGACACAAAACTGACGTGAACTGGGGCCTGAGTCACCACAAAATCATGGAAAACACTGGTTCTGTTCTCCTGCACTTTGATATTCCTATCAGCTTCTGTAGAGACTTTTCCCTTCCAAACTGGCACCAGAAAAATATTCCTTAAGCAGCAAAAGAAGCAAAAGACACCCAAGTGCTGCCCTCAGTGTCCAGCTTCGGGTTCCAGGGTGGATTTGTCAGTCTCTCTCTCCTAACATAAATGTCAGGTTTGTGTGTGGTTGTTTTAGTTACATGAAACCTAAAATATTGGACAACAGCTTCATCTCACAGAATTCAGGATTGGCACTGTGCTCCTGTTACATCTCAACAAAAAAATAGTGCTGGATACCTTAACATCTAGAGATGAAGCCAGGCAAAAAATAGAAGGGTGGGTAAGATCTGGAGAGGAAGTGCTGCACAGAACAGGGGAGGGGAAACGAGTTCCCAAGACATCACAAAGCCCATGAGCAGCATTAGGTGTCACATTTACCCTGTAATCTGACCTTATCTTTACATCAGTGGTATCAAAGAGCAGCACTTCAAAAACTCAAGACTGTTCACAGTTTTGGGTACAGAATAAATCTGAACAGCAAAGAATCTGCTCTGCCCCCAGGAGAGGTGTCTCTCCCTCAGAGCCAGGATTCCAGTGCACGAAGCTGCTCAGCCTTGAGTTGGGCCTGACCACTAGTCTGGATGTCCCAACAGCTTGGGGGAAGAGACTCTCTCCATCCCATCAACCTTCTGACTAGAGCAATCCTCAAGTGCCACCTGGGACAGCTCCAGCTCACTCACACTGCAGCAGGCAGTTACGCAGCAGAAACCCATGCTGGGACCCCCATGTAGCTCTCTGCCTCTCAGAGCTGCCTGGGAGAATCAGGGATTCAGGCCAAGATTTAGTTTTCACTCAACTGCTTCACAGGGCTGGCTCATGGCCCTACTTACTGGCCTGGAGAGTTCCATCCAGCAAAACAAGAATGTTTGTGGCTACAGTGGAAACCTTGCTTGGAAAACTAAGCCCTGTTCAGCCACCAAAGCAGTTCATTCAGACACACAACCTGCTCAAGGCTGAGAGCACACAGAGTCCAAGAATAACAACACACAACTTCCTCTGGAGAGGAAACTGCCCCCTCTGTGACATCAGAAACCAGAGCCAGAGAGACAAGCTTGGAAATAACACATGCTACACTCCAAAACAGCCTTCTGCCACAGCTCTGCCTCTGCAAACAGGAGACACTTCACACACACAAATGCAGCAGTACACAGCAGACAGCACAGCCCCACCACCTACCAGCTCGGGATGGAAATGATGACCCAGGAGACAGTAAGTGATGTCAGCCTTGCAGTGCCTAAAGGGGCTCCAAGAGAGCTGGAGAGGGACTTAGAACAAGGGCCTGGAGGGACAGGCCAAGAAGGAATGGACTTCCCACTGCCAGAGGGATATTGGTAAGAAATTCTTCCCTGTGAGGTGCTGAGGCTCTGGCACAGGTTGCTCAGAGAAGCTGTGGCTGCCCCATCCCTGGGAGTGTTCCAGGCCAGGTTGGATGGGGCTTGGAGCAACTTGGATTAGTGGAAGGTGTCCCTGCCCAGGACGAGATGAGCTTTAATGTCCCTTCCAACCCAAACCAGTCTGGGATTCTACAGCTGGGGGGGTGCAGGATACTGGCACAGATTCCCCAGTCTGTGCCTTCTGCTGGATGACCTTTACCAGTAAACCAATGTGGGCAGATTTTGTCTGCCTGAAACTTCTGTGTTCCTTCCCATGGCACCTGGATATCTGTTACTGACATCCCACCCACTCCTTTACCCAAGGAGATGAGGAAAAGCATAATTTAGCTAAACACTGGCAGTACAATCCCCCAGATTCTTGACATACTTCTCATGGATTTTCAGGACGCGATGGACTATAGGTATCTCTCTTCCTTCTATCCTGAAGACCACGATTTCTCCCACTCTGATTGGATCTTCGATTCGGTTTGTGAGGAACAGGAGGTCTCCTCTGTGGAATGCAGGCTCCATACTCCCACTGAAAGAGACAAGAGGAGCAACTGAACAATATTCAAGCACTCACATGTTTTTATAGTCTTTTAAGAAAAACCTCACAGGAACCTCGATGAGAAGCTGTGACTGCCCCGTCCCTAGAAGTGTCCAAGGCCAGGCTGGAACCTCAGTGAAGAGCTCCCAAGAAAACCACCTTGGAGACCAGGCAGGTGTGCAACCTCTATTACAATTAGGTTGTCAATCAGCATACTACCAGCAGTTTGGATTTCTTGGGAAAAACCCACTGCCAGCACCCAGTGTCACAAGCACATCCAGCAGGAAAAGCTTTCCCAACAACCAACAAGTTGATGACAAACACTGCATCTGGATTTCTGGCAGTGCTGTGCTGGCAGTGCTGGGAAGCTCTTTCATTGCATTCATTTTCTGCAGGTTGATAGAATGTCCTCAGGAACAAAGCACTGAAAGCATCCAGGCTCTTGCATTCCCATCTGGAACAGACAGACAGGCTGGTCAAAAACTTCGTCCTTGTGATTCATGGCTTTGCTTAATGATCTCATTTCAGCCACCAAGACTCAAGGTATTTTTCTCCTGTCTTGAAAATGGCAGTTGTTACCAGCTCCTTCCTAATTGCACATCAATAATGCAAACAGGATGATGAACTTCAAGTCCTGTGGACTGAGAACACATGGCTGAGGAGGGGATGTGGCCCCTGTCCTACCCATGGGGAGAGCAGTGCCCTGTGCCTCACACCAGGAGGGAGTTTTGGTTAGTGACATGTGGTCATGAACACTGATACAGAAACATGCAGAAAGACCCATGTGGCTGCAGAACAGACCCTGTGCAATATCTGTGTCAGCATCCCATGGCAGCCCAGGGAGTTTGTCCCAGGGTGCAGCAGGGTGGGAATGTCACTACTGGTGCCAACGCTGCTGTGAGGGCAACACGAGACACCTAAAACACCCAATGACAGAGGGACAACCCTTATCCTTCAGACAGCCTCGGCAATGGGCAGGCACAGAATCCCAGACTGGCTTGGGTTGGAAGGACCTTAAAGCTCATCTCATTCCCCCCCCTGCCACGGGCAGGGACAACTTCCACTAGCCCAAGTCGCTCCAACCCCTGTTCGGCCTGGCCTGGAACACTTCCAGGGACGGAGGTGCCACAGCTTCTCTGGGTAACCTGAGCCAGTGCCTCAGCACCTCACAGGGAAGGATTTCTCCCTAATATCCCATCTATCTTTGCACTCTGGCAGTGGGAAGCCATTCC